AGCACAAGAGGGGGGAGCGGGAGAGGGAGAAGCAGACTCCCTGCTGAGCAGGGAGCCCGATGCGGGACTCGATCCCGGGACTCGATCCCGGGACTCCAGGATCATGACCTGAGCCGAAGGCAGTCGCTTAACCAACTGAGCCACCCAGGCGCCCCTATTACGCAACGGTCACTTTCTTTTATAAACTTCTTTCTTTTAAGTTTTTATTTATTTCAGTGCTCTCTACATCCAATGTGGGGCTGAAAATCAAAATCCTGAGATCAAGAGTTGTGTGCTCCACTGACTGAGCCAGCCAGGCGCCTGCCTCCTTTTATGAACTTTCTAATGTTTCATCATTACTTAAGTTATGATTTCCTTTCCATTTCCTACTAAATTTTTATGTTTTAAAAAAATATTTTACATTTAAACTCCACCTGGAATTAAGCAAAATGTACAGTTGGCACTGGAAATCAAAGTTAGATTAATCTCATAAATTTTATCAATTGCTTCCTTTTCCCTTCTGTTTTATGATACTTAGGGGCTTTCTGATTGTTGCCTTGTGTCTTTCATTAGTCTTCTTTCATTTGTTTATCTTGATCAGAATAATCTTGTATGGTCTATTTTTCATAGGAATTGTATGAAATCTATTTGAAAAACAAAGTTTCCATATCATTTTTCTTATTCAGATAAGTTTTCCATATTATTTACACTTCTTATTCAGAAACATGGCATTTAAATCTATTTAATTTTCTATTTATTTCCTTGATTAAAGTGCGTGTGTGTGAACTGTATTGCAGACTTTTGCTAGTTTCCAATCCAAATCTATTCTCTTCTTTCCCTTACTAACAAAACTGCAAAGATTTTCAAAAAGACAATGTTAAAAAAAATGACACTTTCCAGCTAGGAATGACAGAGTTAAAGGAGTTCTGTCAATAACTTATCAGTGGAAGTTGCTTCTGGAAAGGCCAGTAGCACTTTTTCCAACTTCCTCTTTTTCCCTTCCTGGAACATGGATTCAATGCCCTGAAATGGGGCAGCTCTCTTAAAGAGCGTGATAATGAGGGGTGCTTGGGTGGCTCAGTCGGTTGGGCGTCTGCCTTCAGCTCAGGTCATGATCCCAGGGACCTGGGATGGAGCCCCGTGTCGGGCTCCCTGCTCAGCGAGGAGCCTGCTTCTCCCTCTCCCCTCCTGCTTGTGAGTTCTCTCTCTCGCTCTCTCTCTCTCTCAAATCAATCAAGCTTAAAAAAAAAAAAGCACAATAATGAAAACGACACCTATGGAAGGCAGAATAGAGAGCTGGAAGCAACTAGGATCTCTGATGATATGGTGGAGCTACTGTAACAGCTCTAATATTATCTCTGGACTTCTTATATGACAAAAATCTCTACTTAGTTAACCTACTATAGTCAATTTTTATTATATGCAGGAGTGGCATCTATTTTATTTTTGTCTTATTTTTTCCTTTGTGAGTATGTGTGTTTTATGGCAGCTACTTTATTTTTTTTAAAGATTTTATTTTTAAGTAATCTCTGTACCCAACCTGGTGCTCGAACTTAAAACTCTGAGATCAAGCACTGCATGCTCTACTCACTGAGACACCCAGGCGCGCCCCTATGGCATCTTTAATAATTTATACATCTTTCCTTGTTTTAGTGTCCAGTAATGGGTTTTTGTTGTTGCTGTTGTTATGGCTAAGAATGCAATCTCCTTTTGACTATATTTTAAGCTGGCTACTACTGGTACATGGGAATGTTCTTATAACATGTATCTGGACACATCTTATTTCAATAATTCCTCTCTATCTGCAAGCAATTTTTATTTTTTCAGTATTTATCTTTTACACTTGTAATTAATCTATTTTCATTAAAATTCAGATAAGCAAAAATATAAACCAAAACAAAAATATATATATATAAACCAAAACAAACAATAAGCAAAACAAAATCTAGTAATCCTGTAATTCCAACACACAGAGTTAACATTTTGGTGTATATTTTCCCACATTTCTTTTTCTATGCACATGTATGTATCGTATAGTTTTGATTCTTAAGATGCATATGTCCTCCCATGACTTAACATTTCATAAAATGGGATTCATCTTATACCGGATGGCATCTTAGGACTGTGTCATAGTTTAATTGGCAGTGTTTTTTCTTAGTGATACATAAAATAATGGTGCACTTTTCACAAAATTTAATATACAATGATTCTGGAGTGCTTCGGTGGCTCAGTTCATTAAGTGTCTGCCTTCAGCTCAGGTCATGATCCCAGGGTCCTGGGATCGAGCTCCGCATTGGGCTCTCTGCTTAGTGTAGAGCCTGCTTCTCCCCCTCCTTCTGCCCCTCCTCCCCACTCGTGCTTTCTCTTTCTCTCAAATAAATAAATAAAATCTTAAAAAAAAAAAAAAGATGCACTGATATATTAAGTTCACTTAAATATCTATTTAAAAAATAAACTAGCACAATTCTACATATGCTCCTTTATGTTCTAGCTTAATATATCACAAACATCTTCTCAGGTCAGCATTCCCAGATCAGTATTTATACTGGTTTTCAATGACTACATGGTATTTTGGTCTACAGATAATTAATTTAATGTGGGGCATTTAGATTGTTCCCAACTTTTCACTATTATAAACCTTGCTTCAAATAATCTTTTTAATACATTTACATACTTATTTTCCTAGGAGAAATTCTGCAGGTTTATGGGTTCAAAGAAGATTGAGACTTTTAAAAAGCATTTGGTATTTAGTGACATATTGCCTTTGAAGTGTACATTAATGAATTTGCAAAGTCCTGTCATACAATGTTAATAACTATGATAATAATGGAAATATTTGCTTTGTTCCTCTATTTAAATAGGGATGCCTATTTTCCTATACAATGTCAAATTTGATGTATCATGTTATTCTCACCAAGGAGAATTACATACAGCTATAAAATCTGTGTAAAACTCAACTCTTATTTTCACTATTTTATTAGGGGCAGCTCTCTTTTCCAGTCAAAGAAACTCCAAGTATTATGAGAGAGAGGAAGAATTTCCTAATATGTAGAACATTTACAAAAGCTATGAAAACTAAGATGAATTTATTCAGCATCTTATCTTCAGACATCTGCTTTGGTTTCTAAGATTTCTACTACCACCCAGGCACAGCCTACCAAAATGAACAGTCATTACCTGATCTTCATATCCTTCTATCTTCACAGGTGTGAACTGATCCATGTTATACTGGGCAAATGCACTGTTTTTTAAAAAGTAAAAAAAGGAGGGGGGAAGAATTATATATAAATACAAAGGTAATTCACATAATAGTGAAAGAGAATGTGAAAACACTCTGTGGTGCTCTTTCCTTTTCTCTCTAGGCAACTGTGTTTTCCTAATGCCTTCCAGCTTTCTGAAGGAACTCTTCTCCACAAAGATCTCAGATGTGCCCTAAACTCTGAAATTACCTTTTCCTCTCCACCCCTAGGCTCCAATATAACTCCCCCTTAGACTATTCCTAAGTTTTAAGAAATCCAGTTTTCATGAATTACCAACAGTTTTCATCATTTAGACAGAAGCTTTCAGTAATTCAAAAAAATCTTCAATTGATGCACATTTTAGCAATGCTGTCTTCTTTATTCTGGGCTCTCTAAGGTAGGGCAGGTAGGAGAGACCACAATTAAATGTACTGGAAGACATCTGACATGAGGAGAGGGTGAAGTAAGAGTTGAGCATGAGTCAAGTCTCCGATGAGAGTTTAAGGCAGAAGAGATTATCTGAAAAGGGGGATATGAATAATCAAGGTGCATGCCTAATATTATTGTTTACTTGTCCAGTGCTACATTTATAAAATTGCATTTTCAATGGCTCCCTAGTACATCTTACAAAGTAAGCAAAAAGGTAAAGTGAAAATAAATGGAAATAAGCTGCAGTGTAAAAAAGCATAATACACTTACAAAGTATCAGTCTTCTCAGAGAATTCTCTTGCCAAGGGAAGAGTTAAACACCTCTCCAGCCCAATTTTAACTTAGTAAAACACCTACTAGACCACTATTTTTAAGCAGACTATTAAATTCTTCCTAGACTTTTCAAGAGAAACCAAAGAAATATATTTAAAGCTAATCTTCAATCTTTTCATTTTAAGTTATTGTTGTGCTTTTTAATTAATCATTTCCTCAGAACACCACAACCCAATTAACAAAATGAGTCCTCAACACAGTAGTTCTTCAGAAAGGAATATAAATTAAGTGTTCATGGAAGTGGATTTTTTTTTTTTTAGAAAGCTTAAGGAGTAAGGAATAAATAAGTATTCCATTCTAAAATACATCCTAAGATTATAGATTACAAATACCAACATCAAAATTTGTTAACATTTAATCCCATCTCAAGAAAATGGTATTTCCATTCTACCATTTGTGTGGGCCCAAAACTTGAGATCATCTTTGATTCTTCTTTCTCTCAAATTTCACATGCAATCCCATCAGCAAATCTTATAGGTTCCACCTTGAATACATATTCAGAATCTAATTCCTTCCCATCACCCTTACTACTACCACTCTAGTCCAGACCACCGCCATTTATCTCTGAACTACTGCAGTAAGTCTTCTAACTACGCATCTTTCTTCAATCTTTGCCCCCTGCATAGCAACCAGTGATTATTCTAAAATATAATCTCATCGAGTCATTCTCTGCTCAGAACACTAATAATCTGCCCTCTCTTTCACAATAAAATCCTCTCTTTAACATGGCCTACAACACCCTAGTTAGTCCAGAAGGGCTGGGAATTATCAGAGAATGGTTCTAGGGATCAGAAGCAAAGGCAGAAATCCAGGAAAGAGTAAATCCGAAGTTGTTCAGGCCTCTTTTATTTTATATAGAAGGCAATAATGTGAGGATGATGATTACTGAAACAACATTTACTGAACACTTACTATGAGGACTATGGCCAAGGGACTGAAGCACCTCATTACAGAAAAAAAAAAACCTGAATTTTTCATCCCTGTGGAAAATCAAATATTTGGGCATAAGACAGTTCTCCTTTAGTAAGAATGTTCTCTGAAAATCTAGAATCTATAAGAAACAGAGTATTTATGAAAACAAAGCTTTATTGTCAGGGCAATTAAAGCATCTGAACTAAATACCAAGTTCTACTGTTACTCCTAATTGGAAATTGGACAACAGGCTTAAGATACAATCAGTCTTGGGTCTTGGCATTCCACTCCCCCATCTCCTCTTCAACAGTACCTTATCACGTGAAGGACAGAGTAGATTTATTTTGGGTAGCAGGATATACTAAGACCAATATATGGCAGGCAAGGAACTTGCCCTGTAAAATAGTGAATTCCTTATTATTAGAAGCATTCAAATTGGATAATCATCTTTTGACAAAATGTAGAGAGGTTCTCTCAATGATAGAGCAGAGATAGACGGGTTGAACTAGCAAATCATGAATGCCTTTTTCTATGGCATTCTGTGCATCTAAGAGAAACCAGCATTAGAATGTATCTTTGGTGTGTGCCTAAATCAATGTATAATTAGAGTATCATTCATGATGACAATTATAGTGATGCTGTACAAATGTTAGGGTTTGCGGAATCTGGTCCCAAAATGAGGTTCAAAAGAGCAGCACGGACAGGGCAGAAGATGACTGTTTCCCAGGTAGCAGCTCTTAAGATAGTTTTCTATAGCTAAAATCTAAACCAACTGATTATCACACCAAATGCTTTTATGATAATTATTTGTTGCTCTACATCAAAATCCTTGTCCCATCCTCTTTACCCCACCCTTTCCCAGTCATTATCCTTTTCTGGTTTCCTCTTTACGAAGGAACTCTGGGCCAATTACATAGACAGTAACTGAAAGAGAATTTTGTATGTAAAGGAAAGTAGTGATAAAGCCAGATAACACAGGGCCTTGAAAGCTAGACAGTGTTTAGATTTGAAGAAAACAAAAACACATATCACTGTAATGTTTCTGAGGACAAAGATAAAATGAAAATGGTATTTTCATTTAATTAGCGTGATAGTGATAAGGAATCAATGACTAGGTTGAATAACCATGCTATTATTCTACAGTTAATTCTATTAAGGCACTTTATGAATATCTACTATTTTGTGGCAATTTGAGAACATTATTCCTCAATAGCAGCCTAATTTTTCTATAGCTAGCGTTTAAAAAAAATTCAACATGAACTAAAAGGAGTATAGAAGAAACCCTAACAGCTCATATTAAGCTCTGCTTTAATAGGGAAGATCTGGGCAAAAAGAAAAATAAAAAAAATAAGATCACATATAATAAGTTTAAAGGAAGTAAACAACATGGCATGTTTTCTCCAAGTAAAAAAATACAACTAAAACTGCTAAAACCAACTGCTTTATACTGAAGTATTCTATTTTAAACTTAGTTTTCAGGGTACAAATTTATTATCAACATAGTTTATCCAAAATTAAAATAAATATATAAGTGGATCTTGAATGATACTTACTGTGCTGCCCCTTCCCTGAGGAGATTGTCATTATTAAGCAGTAGCCGGACATCTGAGGAAAAAACATTAAAAGATGCTAAAATATTCAATAGAGGACAAACTTCAGAAATTTTTTAGTATATGTGCTGCCGAAGCGAGCACAAACTTCAGAAATTTTTTAAAAATTAGGCTTTGCAAAGTTAGTTTTCAGATATATGTACACATAGAAATTCTTTTTATTTTTTAAATATTTTTGACAGAGAGAGAGAGAGAGAACACACAAGCAGGGGGAGCAGCAGGCAGAGGGAGAAGCAGGCCTCCTGTGGAGCAGGGAGCCCGATGCAGGGCTCCATCCCAGGACTCTGGGATCATGACCTGAGCCGAAGGCAGATGCTTAACCGACTGAGCCACCCAGGTGCCCCTACATAGAAATTCTAAAAAACACAAATGAACAGGTGCTAATGTTCATAAATTTGCATGTAATTATTCGTGGTACAATAATCCAACAATAACTTCTCAAAGAATTATTCATAGCAAATGAAAAACATGGTTTAAAGAAAGTTATAGTTGGGACTGTTAATTTTGTATCTAAAGAATCCTTTAAAATGAGATTAAGAATTGGAGGCTTTTCTATCAACATCACACCAAGAAAGCTGGGCAAAATTCAGTCAGTGGCAGTGCAATTGGCAAATATATTTTTCTATGAAGCATCTAATGTAGGGGACTATATCTTTTTAAAAAGCTGTGTGTCAAGAGTCTAGTCACTCTTCTTTTGGAAGAGAAGGGTCCTTGTCACATAAGAAACTACCAAGCATTAACTCCAACAGAGAAGACTAATCATAAGCCAAAGGCCACTGACTCTTAGGGCTTCTGAAAGAAGAGGCTGGCGGAGGCCAGTGTGTAGCATGCCAGTAAAAACCAGCCCTCATGCCATAAGTAGCTTGCCAATTTTTTTTTTTTAGTTGCTTGCCAATTCTTAATCTAATGCTTTCATATCAATTATTCTCATGATATTCCTGTAAAGTACATTCAGTTGTCAGAAATAAAACAAGGGACTTCTAACTACAAAGGCTATTAATTTTGTTAAGACAAGAATTTATTTGAGCTAATCAGCTGGATAAAGTTCAAGTCGTAGGAAAATTTCCTAAAAGCTCAGTTGTTGAAAATTTGTATTTGGGTGATATGGAAAAAAGACCAGAGAAAACAAGGCTGCATTTGTTTCTCTTGCTATTAGTGTTCAAAATCTACAAATAAGTCTATAAGGAACAATGTCTGGATTTATTTCTATTGTATTATTTACTCCTTATAGTAAATGTTTATATGTTCTCCTGGTTACTCTTTCTCTACATCATTAATTTTTATCGGTGGAGATTGCTGATTGTTCTATGATGTATGGGGCTCTGGACCAAGTACAGATGAATATCACATAGTTCCTCTTAAGTAGGTAGCCATCTAATGTAAAACTAGAATTTCAAAATAAATGTTTGCTCAAATGAGCCAAGATGCACAAAGAACTTTACAATGAATTTAACAACTTAAAATGGGATTGTAGGGGTGCCTGGGTGGCTCAGTCGTTAAGCGTCTGCCTTTGGCTCAGGTCATGATCCCAGGGTCCTGGGATCGAGCCCAGCATCGGGCTCCCTGCTCAGCGGGAAGCCTGCTTCTCCCTCTCCCTCTCCCCCTGCTTGTGTTCCCTCTCTCGCTGTGTCTCTGTCAAGTAAATAAATAAAATCTTAAAAAAAAAAAAAATTTAATTAAAAAAAAATGGGATTGTAATGATTGATTTTTTTTTTTTTAAAGATTTTATTTATTTTTTGACAGATAGAGACGTAGTGAGAGAGGGAACACAAGCAGGGGGGAGAAGCAGGCTTCCGACTGAGCAGGGAGCCCGATGCGGGGCTCGATCCCAGAACTCTGGGATCGTGACCTGAGCCGAAGGCAGACACCCAACAACCTGAGCCACTCAGGTGCCCCGTAATGACTGATTTTATCATGGAGTTCAAGATGCCTCATCTACATTTTTCATTCTATATTACATTAAGCCAGTGAATAGCACAGAAGGTTATAAATGTATTGGAACAGTGGTTCCCAAACTGGCTGTGACTCAGAATCACCCAGGAGAACTTGATAAAACAGATTACCCAATTCCACCTCAGATCTAATGAATGAGAAATCTTAAGAGGATGGTAATGCTGGAAGCTGTATATGTAACAAGCTTCCCAGATACAGTAAGTTCAGCCCCAATGGATTTAGAAAGTGTCCTATATGTATTACGGGCACATCTTGAATGAAAGCACTGCAGAAGCTTAAGCTATGACTTATAATGATAGATATAAAATTATGAAAACAATTTAATATTGCTTCTCTATTTAATCACATTAAACTACTTTAAATCATTTCTCACATAAGATAGGTATCCTAATTTATGGGTTAAGAATTTGCTTTTGACTCAGACCTAGGTTTGAATTCTTGCTCTGACACTTCACTAGCTAGGTGGCATTGGATAAGTTATTTTCACCTGTTTGAATCTTGATTTCCTTAGCTATAGCTATAATGTGCTGTAAGGATTAAAAGAGATAGCTTGTATGTAATTAAGGAGAGCTTAAAATACTAATGTTTACTCACCATTGAACACTTCATTAAATTCCCCTGGGGGCGCATGAGTGATGAATTTAGCAGCTATGCGTACCTAAAGAGAAATAAATAAAATAAGAGTAATATATAAAAGAAGGAATTAACAGATTACAAAAATTTCTTCACATTCCTTGAAATAACACTTTCTGTTTAAACCTTTACTGTTTAGTAGCAAAATTTTTTTTCACAAAATATCCCAAAACTTTTATCATCAATATAGGTTGTCCTGATTTGGGGATATCCATGCTGCTTTGATTTTTAATTTTTCTTTAAAAAGTTGAATAATCCGTTTTTGGTCAAAATACACTACAGTCATAGCTTTGCCCAGTCCAGTGGCAGTATCATAGCCAATGAGGTTTATCTCAGGCACAATTATTGCTAATTTAAAACTTTTCCCCAAATATACCAGAGTCACAAAAAGAGAAAGCTATGATCCTAATCTCTTATAAACATTTAAGCAAAACTAAATAAAATATGAGTAAACTGGTAGGATACCAAATTGTGTTTATAGTGTTTATCCCAATGCAAGGATGGGTTCAATACTAATAAATCATATAAAGGAGCAAACCCTTGCGATTCTCTTAACTCATACTGGGAAAAAAAGACAAAATTCAACACTCAAATATCATAAAACAACAACAAAACTACTAATTCTGGGTAGGAATAAATTTCTTTAACTTGAAAAAGGATTATCTACCAAAATTCTACAGCATACCTAATAATGATGCAACAATGCAAGCAGTGTCCCTAATTTTAAAAACAAGACAAAGATGACTTCTATCACCTAAACTATTAAATGCTGTACTAAAGGTTCTAAAGAATACTATCGACAATATTTCTTCTAAATCCCTCTCCTGCCCCCATTGCCATTCTACTTTTCTGGATCTCCTATTTGAGATGGATGCTGAAATCTTTGGATCTAACTTGCATATCTCATTTTTTTCTCGTATATTTTTATCTTCTTTTGTCATTTTATACTTTATTTGGCAAGAAGGCCTCAGAGCTCCATTTTTCAATTCACGAAAATGCTCTTCAGTTACGTCTATTTTGCTATTCAGATAATTATTTTAACTATTCTACTTTTAATTTCCATGACTTTTATTTTTGTGTGTATAATAATCTCTTGAGTCTCCTTGAGGGTATTAACTGCACTGACTTTAAAGTCTTGCTCTATGGACTGTTTCCTAAGAATTTAGATCTACTTTTTGTTTGAGTTTGGTGCTTTTCTTTCGTAGCACTGGTTTTCCACAAATGTTTGGTGTTCCTCCTTGAATTTAATTTAGCTTATCTGTTCTGTTTACCTGCAATTTGTCTCTAGTGATTACAGGGGAGGGAAGGAGTAGACTCGCTGCTGGGTATGAGCAGATTAATTTCTGAGTGAGCTTCATAAGGGCCAGAGGCTACCTGAGGTATTGTCCTGCCTCTCTGCTCTCAGTGCTCATTCTCAACGCTATATATATGTATTTTTTAAAAAAGATTTATTTATTTATTTATTTATTTATTTGAGAGAGAGAGAGAGAGAGAGAGAGCACAAGTAGGGGGAGCGGCAGAGGGAGAGGGAGAAACAGGCTCCCCAAGCAGGGAGCCAGATGTGGGGCTCGATCCCAGGACCCTGAGATCAGGACCCAAGTCTAAGGCAGATGCTCAACCAACTGAGCCACCCAGGTGCCCCTCAATGCTATATTCTGAGGACAAATGCATTTCTGTCTGTAGTTTAGGCCAAATGGGAGAGAAAAGAGGAGCCAAGTGGTACAGTTAGCTTACAGAACAGTTCCCCAATTAATCTACACCAAGACTCAGAAGAGTCCTTTCTTTTTTGCTTCTTAAATAAAGTTCTTCCAAATGGCTCCCACTTCCATAACAGTTTTCTTTCATGTGTTTTGGGTTATGATTTCTTCTTATCTTACTTTTGCCCCCTATGTATTTACCATTCTGCTTTCTTTCTATGAAGAACTGCTAAAAAATTTTGGTCCAATGATGGCACTCTCACTTTTCAAACAGTTACTAGTTCATTTCTCCTCTCATTCTATTTTTCCCTACTCTTTTCAAAATTCTAGTAGGTTTGGCATAAAAGGTGAGGTGAAACCATGTGCTCAGTCTGCCATATAATTTAATCTCTTAGCTCTCATCAAGTCAAATGTGACATACAAAGAATGTACAAACCCATTTAAAAGAAAAATTAATTTGGAGTATCATTTTGCATTATACATATGTAATTATGATGTTAGCAATAATAGGACTGACCTCAAATGAGTCTCGCAGTATAATTCTAACACACTATGACAGAAAGAATGTTGAAAATTCCCTAATTTTTGTGTGATAATGAGTATGAAGATGATTCAATTCACTGATGAGGGGCAAAGAGGAACATGATATACCTATCTACCAATAAACTGAGCCCTGCTTTCCAATAAGGCATCCTCTGTTGACTTCTTAATTTCCTTCAAACAATTTTAAATTCTTGCTGACCCAATCAAATTAAGGCTACCATCAAAGTCAAACCATTCTTAAGCAGAAAAAAAAGACTTTCAAGAGTCTTGAAAATAAGGCTGGGAACTGAGAAGAAAATAAGAAAAAGACAAAAAACACTTTACAACTTTAGGTTTATATGGAAAAGAAAAGCTAAAGCTGTCCCATGGACAAATTTATTTCTTTGTCAAGATAGACCTACTGACTGGGGCGTCTGGGTGGCTCAGTCGTTAAGCGTCTGCCTTCGGCTCAGGTCATGATCCCAGGGTCCTAGGATTGAGCCCCACATCAGACTCCCTGCTCAGCGGGAAGTCTACTACTTCCTCTCCCACTCCCGCTGCTTCTGTTCCCTCTCTCGCTGTCTGTCAAATAAATAAATAAAATCTAAAAAAAAAAAAAAAGAGAGAGACCTACTGACTGACGGAGCAAGGTACACGGGAAACCTGGATTCTAATTACTGGCTGTGTTGGTCCATTAACTAACTAGATTTGTGATTCTAGAAACACTACTAACCTTTTTTGGTCCTGAATTTCCTCATTATAATCCAATTCCTAAAAGAGATGAGAAGATCTGCAAAATTTCTTTGAGCTATAACTCTACCTGATTCTCTAAGACTTAGAAAACAAAACCTATATGTGTGTGGAAGCAGAGGGGAGGAATCCACACCACAAACACTTTAAAATATTCTTATGTACATAAAGTTTGAGAACCCTGCCATGACAGGGTAATTACAGATAATGTATTAGTTTTCTGGGATGAAAACTGGTGGAGATTAAGAGGAATACTCCATAAAGCTCTTATATTAACTAACAATAAAAAGAGCGGTTCTAATTAGGAAATAAGAAATGCTGCTTGACTCATGAAAATTATACTACACAGGACTAACAGTTCCCATATGGATTGCCAACTGTGTATATTTGCGTTGGCATGTGCAGTTAATCATATTTCTGTCCTCATCAACTGTTGCCGTCAATCACTCATTTAAGAATGAGTCAATCACTCATTTAAGAAATTAGTAAACCTACTTTGACAGCAAACCTATAGTCTATTTGTGGCAGTATTGCGGCTATGGTCTATCCCACTTCTGTCCAGGTGCTTTTCCCATAACCCTTACATAATTGTGAAACTTCCTTCAGTCAAGAAAATTTAAGTGTTTGTAGTTCAAGGACCTGACACATACGTAGTAATACAGCAAGCAAGAATTAAAGGCCACAGTGAGGCACCAAGAAGATGTAATCAACTCTACATATGTATATAAGGAGGGGTGGGGTGGCCTTTAAATACAGTGATGTATGAGCTGGATTGAAGGATGGATAATACCAATGAGGGCATTCCAGTCAGAGGAAACAGTATGTACAAACTAAGACAACACAGTACAACAAACTGAATGTAGATATTTAAAAGATTTGCAAAATGTAAAATAGTCCTACTTTTCCCACTAATTCTTTTTTTGTTTTGGAAAATAAAGCTTTTTTTCCCCCCAAAACAAAATACCAATCATTTATATTAACAGGTAATAATTATGTTTTTAAATGAACTAATGCTTTAAAAATCTCTTAAATTTTAATATTTAGTAAATAGATATAAGCTACATAAATAAAAACTTGATTCCTAAGAGTGTAAAGGAGTCCCGAGAGCAAAAACGTCTGAGAAGGGGCACCTGGGTGGCTCAGTCGTTAAGCGTCTGCCTTCGGCTCATGGGATCGAGCCCCACATCGGGCTCCCTGCTCTGCGAGAAGCCTGCTTCTCCCTCTCCCATTCCCCCTGCTTGTGTTCCCTCTGTCGCTGTCTCTCTCTCTGTCAAATAAATTTTAAAAATCTTAAAAAAAAAAAAAAGTCTGAGAAGTGTTCTGTTGACATAGGTTGATGTTTATCACATGCTGTTGAGTGAAAAAAGTTCACACGATGTATTCCCGTTTTATTAAGAGTAAATATATTTACATACAAGTATAGCTACTAATTTTAATTAGGACTTCCTCTGGTATTACAAGATATTTTTCTTTCCTTTTTTGGCTTATCTCCATGTTCAAAAAGCTGTACAAGGAACATAAATTACTTGTATGATAAAGAGAATTTTTTTTCCCTGGAAGTTAGTACTTCTTAATCCCCTTTATCTATTTCACCCATTACTTCATTACTTGTACGTTAAAGATAATTTTTAAATTTTTAAAAATCAAAAGAGGAGCATGTGAACATCTCCCATCCAATAAATTAATTTTTTTAAAGATGAAAGAGGACAGGGGCGCCTGGCTGGCTCAGTCAGTAGAGCTACTAGACTCTTGATCTTGGGGTTGTGAATTTGGTTGTGAATTTGAGCCCCACGCTGGGTATAGAGATTACTTAAAAATAAAGTCTTAAAAAAAAAAAGATGAAAGAGGACATAAACAAGATAAAGGCTTTGGAGTGACATCAAAACTGAAAGCATGGGTCAAGGAAGCTATAGGTCAAGGAAGCTAAAGGACAGGATAAAGTGAAGTTGGTAAAATGCTAAAAGCAACAAGGAAGGCTTTTCAAAGTTATACTCTGCATATGCTTTTTGACCAGGAGCTTAACCTTATTCACTTCCTAGCTGCATAATGCCTTATG